CCTCACCAAAGCTCCTCCACTGTGATCCACCTTGAAAAGAATGAAAATTATGTGTGGGCAGTGCCTGCTAAATTACGTTCTGTGTTCACAACTGCATTGTTTTATTTATGGCTTTCTGTTTTATTATATAGTTGAGAGCTAGTGTAGCATAGCAGCTAAGATACTGAACTGTGAATTGGAAGGGCCCCAGTTCAAATCTCACCTCTTTCATAAACTCACCAGGTGACCATTATTTTCTGAGCCTCAGCCCTGCAACTGTAATATGGCGATAATAATACTGATTTGCTGGGCAGTTATTGTAAAGCTTGCTAACATACTATATATGAAATGCTTTGAACACTCAGAAAGCATTATATAAATGTTAAGTATTATTATTTCCCTAAAAAAACAAAAACTGCCTGCATTTGGAATCTAGTGGTCATTATATCTCTAGTTTGAACTCCATTTTTATATTCCCTGAGAAAGTATTGGAGGGTTGTTTTTTTTTAATGCTTATTAAAACATACATTCATTTATTGGTATATTGGAGGGACTGTAAACAAGTGATAAAGTGACAACGTTCCCCACAGTAAAAACCGACAGCATTCACTTTAATTTTCTGCCATTTTTGTAATTATATCAATCAAGGCCAAAAACCCTAAAATGATATTTTAGCATGCTGTAAGAAATGAGGAATTCAGATCTTAAAAGACCATTACAATTAGCTTTGAAACATTCACCATTTTAACATAATTGTTTCGTATAGCTTATACGTCTTCATTTACAGGCAAATATTCTGTTGATCTTTTATAAACAAAGTAGCACCCATCTGCTTCTTGAGACACTCCTGGCGCCTATTCATTGCAAAAATAATACATGTCCTAATGACTTCCACATATTTTGAAATCTCCCTTTTGAAATTGGTCTTGGCAGATTATTTGCAGGTACTTGAGTTGCATCTGTTTGCAATTTTGCAAATGCGGAAGACTTTAATGTTGAGCACTGCAAGAGGGCTATTTTAATCCTCAGATAACATTGGCTGTCATCAAAAGCCACATTTATCTTTTCGAAGGTGGGGCAAATGTTTAATGTTAAAAGACAGTGAAAGGTCAAGGTCACGGCTGAGGGCTGAATATTTTCCTTTCATAAACCTCTCTGCCTTTTGCTGTCAACTTGTGTTTCTTCCCTTTATAAGTTTTTTAAGTTAACTACCCTGTGCCAAGAGTATGTTTTGCTGATAAAAAGGAAAGATCAGGAAGAGAATAAATCTGAAATAATTGTGAACCTTGAACGGTCATGGTTATTATTACCATGTGGCTAGCAGCTGACCAACTTAAGCCATTTTTATTTACACTGCAAAACTGAGCAGCTTTGTGCTAAGAAAATAAAAATGGCATTTTTATTACATCACTAGACTGTGTGAAAGTGAAGAGAGGAGGTAGGACGGAGGTAAGATGCTTAAAATGCTAAGCCAGTGGGTCTTGTGTTAGAAGTTCATGTGGCAACGCATGTCATGAAACTGCTAAGAGGGCCTTGTACCAATTGGACCCCATGATGGTGAGTTTCTTTTCTGTCTCATTTTATTTATTATGAGATGTGAACAAGATGTATATCCCATTGTTTGATAACATCTATCAGGTCTGCAAAAGAGGTTTTAATTTGGTTCTTCCCCTCCTCCCCCTTTGCTGATTATAAGATTAAGAGGTTTCTTTGTGAAACGTTTCTTGGGCATCTAAGTTTCCTGTTCCTCAAAGGTGCAGCAAATAAGGAAAACAAAGTCTTTGTCAGTGCCCAGACCTTTAAAATAACTCCTCCCTGCACCAGAGCACCCTGACACATGAATGACTTCTAATTTCCACAGGTGCAATCCACGAAACTGTTCTTTAATAAGAATTGGGCATATGTATAGATACAGCCACCATAATCCCTGTAAATGTTTAACAGCTGAAAAAAAACACTGTTCTGATTTTTGGAAACTTCTGCCAGTTGTGTCAGTATATATGGCCTGATTCACATGAATATTGCTCCTGTATCTGTGTGAGTGTGGCTGAGTGAGGCGCACACTTACCCTTGCTCAATTGTTAAAAGAAGCTGACAGTGCTTGTACCTTCAATTCCAACCTTCCTAAGGTTTCAGATAACTGGAAGGGCAGAGGAGGGGAAAGGTTGAGAATGATTGGCTGCTGCAGTATGAAAGACCGATAACAGTGGCCAATGGAGGGTGACATAGTGGATGGGAGGGAGCAGGGTGCATAGCATAAAATCCATTCCCTAGCCACTGAATAAGTACTCTGGCCATGCACTTTAGGAACTGATAAGAAAGAGTTACAAATAATGAAACTTAGGGAGAAGCCAGCACCAGCTGTGATCCTTATTTCCTTCCCCCTTGAGCAATTGGCTGCTGGCCAGGCAACCATAGCAGCAGACACCGAGTAGTATCCAATGCTAGTCCTACTTAGAGTAGACCCATTAAAGTCCATGGACATGACTAACGGATTTGTTGATTTCAATGCATCTACCCTGAGTAGGGAGGGGGACGCTGGTGGTGCTGTGATCTAAACCACTTAGCCTCTTGGGCTTGCCGATCAGAAGGTCGGCAGTTTGAATCCCCATGACTGAATGAGCTCCTGTTGCTCGGTCCCAGCTCCTGCCAACCTAGCAGTTTGAAAGCACACCAGTGCAAGTAGATAAATAGGTACCGCTCCGGCGGGAAGGTGAACAGCGTTTCCGTGCACTGCTCTGCTTTTGGTGTTCTGTTGCACCAGAAGCGGCTTAGTCATGCTGGCCACATGACCTGGAAAAACTGTCTGCAGACAAATGCCGGCTCCCTTGGCCTGTAAAGCGAGATGAGCGCCGCAACCCCAGAGTCATCTACAACTGGACTTAACTGTCAGGGGTCCTTTACCTTTTTTACCCTGAGTAGAACTTACTTGGGTACAACTCATGTTCCCTCCCCCCTTTTGCCAACATTTCTACATAACTGATAGTGCACCATAGGATTTTGGAATGTGCCCTAGACTTACCAATAGTTTTTACAGGGCTTCAGCGTGGCTAGAAGCACATTGAGAGCCTGGGGTTTCCTCTCCTGTGCAGAAAAGGGCAACCAAAATTATCATGGGGTTGGAGAAAGTGGATAGAGAGATGTCTCACATAATACCAGGGGCATCCAATGAAGCTGAATGTCAGGAGTTTCAGGATAAACAGAGCAGCATTGTTAAACTATGGAATTTGCTGCTGCAAATTCAATGATGGTCGCCAGATTGGAAGGCTTTGAATGGGGACTAGGCAAAACTATGCAGAATGTGGCTACCAATGGCTACTGGCCATGATGGCTATATATGACCACAGTGTCAGATGGCTGCAGGGGTGGCGGCAGAAGAGGGCTATTGTGCTCTTGTGCCGCTTGTGTACCTTCCCATAGGCAAACGTTTGACCATTACGAGGACAGAATGTTGGACTAAAGTTGTTCTCCTTTGCAATACAAGACACTGTTGGAGCCTGTTTTAGAAAGACATGAAAAGAGGAGGTCCAGCTGCAGAAATGTGAGATCACCTTATAATGCTATAAATACATAGTGTTAACAGTGGCCATTCTGGTTTTCTTATGATATATAGATAAAGGTAAAGGTACCCCTGCCCGTACGGGCCAGTCTTGACAGACTCTAGGGTTGTGCGCTCATCTCACTCTATAGGCCGGGAGCCAGCGCTGTCCGCAGACACTTCCGGGTCACGTGGCCAGTGTGACAAGCTGCATCTGGCGAGCCAGCGCAGCACACAGAACGCTGTTTACCTTCCCGCTAGTAAGCGGTCCCTATTTATCTACTTGCACCCGGGGGTGCTTTCGAACTGCTAGGTTGGTAGGCGCTGGGACCGAATGACGGGAGCGCACCCCGTCGTGGGGATTCGAACCGCCGACCTTTCGATCGGCAAGTCCTAGGTGCTGAGGCTTTTACCCACAGCGCCACCCGCGTCCGACTGCTGTTGCACTAATTTGTTGTACTTATTTGAATTTACCACCCTGGAAATTAGCCCCAGCTGGACTCTGACCTGTTGTGACACTAAAATACTCAGTTAATCAAATAATAATAATAAAGTGGTGTGATTTTTAAGGGCTTTTTATAGAATAGTTTTGTTTCGGAATTTAAATTTTTTTAAAGTGTTTGTTTGATTTTTAAATAGCTAGGGAATATGTGAATAAAAGCAATGCTAAACTTTCTGCAAAAGGTTTTCAGTTCACTGTGCGTTTAATGATTGGCTGCATCTCCCTCTTTCATCAGCCTGCATTCATCTTTAAGAAATGACTCACATGTGCACACCCTCCCCTCCCCACTTTTTACCTTCCCTGGTTTTCTATTGTCTTCACATGTTTATTGATGCCCATCTGCTCCTAATGAAAAATACCTACATTTACAGCAGACGCACAAGTGTACCTTGGGATAAATGTATTATTTATAAAGACCCATCATCACACCCCGCACAGTTACATTTTTACGCTCCTTGTTGGTGCACTCCTGTGTCTTGTTGGCAACGCAATTAGTTGCACCATGGGAGGTTCTCAGGTTCAAAGCCAGCTATGTAAAATCTATTTCACCCCTTTTTAATATGTGGTGTGTATATATATATATATATATATATATATATATATGCTGCACTTGAGAAATAAAAAAAAATTGCTTATATGATTTTAGTTCAGCCAGTGTGCCCTGTGTTTTATAATTATTATTTTCTTCTGTCTGTACAATACATAGTTCTTCAAATCAAGAGCTTTTTGGATTTTTGTATGCAGCTGTAATTCCTGCAGGCAAGGGTGCTTGCCATGAAAAATTAAACCAGGATCTTGAATTTGGAAGCCATGGTCCATTTGAAACAAAATGACTGATTTTACTTTATAATTTGCTACAGTTTGTGATATGATAGGACTATGAAATCAGAGTAGGCTGAAGACCCACCCAGTGTGGATCCATCCTTGTTGAAGGAAAGAACTTATGCCACTCCCCCGCCAACAGGAGATCAGCCTACACAAGTGCCATAGTTCAGTGGTAAAGAATTTGCTTTGCACGCAGAAGGTCCTAGGTACAATCCCCAGTGGCAACTGGGAATGTCCCCTGTCTGAAAACCCTGGAGAGCTGCTGCCAGTCAGTGTAGACAATACTGAGCTGGATGGACCAGTGGTTTGTCTCAGTATAATGCAGCTCTCTATGGGACTCAAGGCTTGATTACTGCAACATGTTTACACATAGGGCTGCCTCTGAAGATGGTTTGAAAACTTCAGCTGGTGCAGAATTTAGCAGCCAGGTAAGACGGTTTGAGCATATTACACCGATCCTGACCCTGGCTGCCAATTAGCTTCTGGGCCCAAATAAAGGTGCTGATTTTGACCTATAAAGCCTTAAACAGCTCAGGACCTCAAGGATCGCCTCTCCCCAAATAAACCAACCTGTACTCTGTGTTCATCATCTAAGGCCTTCTCCACATGAGGTCTGGAGGGAAGAAAGACGAGAACCTTTTCTGCAATGGCTCACTGTGGAATGCTCTCCTTGGGGAGGCTTACCTGGTATCTTCTTATCTTTAGGTGCCAGTTCTTCTTCAACCAGGCCTTGGGCTGATTAATATTCTACAGCCTTTTAAATGTGGTTCAGTGGGGAGGGAACTATTTTTAGTTGTTTATGTTTTAATTACTTTTATGTCTTTTTATCTTGTGAACCATCCTGAGATCTTCTGATGTCCAACCAAAATACCAATCCTCCTGCATTTTGGATAGATGTAGCTGTTCCCTCTAGGGCAGCAGTCGAACAAGCCTTTGCCTCTTTTATGTGATGCTTCTTCAGGTAGTTGAAGAATGGTATCACAAGTGATAGCTATTGCCCTCAGCTCCTGCTTGAAGCCTTCCCAGATGTATCTATTGGCCGCTGTGGCAAACAGTGCAGTGGATTACATAGGTCTTTGGTTTGATCCAGCAGGGTTCCATTTATGTTCTTAATGTCTTTTATTCACTAATGCACCTTTTTAAAATAATGAATATGGTTGTTGTGGTATCTCAAAGTAAACCTTTCGAAATTCACATGGCAGCTTCAGCTTATCTAGCCATTTAATTCAGTGATCAATGGACCTGCCTCATCATGTTTCTGTGAATGGATCTATTCTTAACCAGATGCATTAGGAACATTGCTGAAATAAAATATCTAGTGTTGCTTCCTGCAGGTGTGGCCCTTCCTGAAGAAAGCAAATCAACACAATTGGGGAAAGCAGGGATGTGCAGAAAGCACCTTGGAAATCAGAGTGGTCCAGGCTCTGTTTGGTAGTCAGAGCTAAGATTGGGTTTATAGGAACACAGTCAGATTATAGTTAAATTGGAATCGGGAGGGGGTCTGAGGTAAAACAAATTCAGCAAGTTTTTTAAAAAGCAAGCATGATAAAGGAAGCAGGAGATTTTATAAAGAGAAATAACTTTTAAAGTTTCAAAATAATTATCTAAAACATTTTTTATTCAACTTTTCAACTGCATGGCAATTTACAGGGTTTGAAAGAATAAATTAAAAATGATACAATAAAATAAGGACGTATAAACAATATTGAAAGAGCCTATAGGATAATAACATAAAACAGCTAAATAAATCGTGTCCTGCCTAAAAGTGTTGTGGTGAGACCTGGAGACTGACCTCCTGGTTGTGGGTGGGTATATTGGACAGCCACAACACCCAGTTGGTAGGTCCCTCATTGCTGGGCTTAATCTGGCCAATGGGGCACAGTCTAAACAGATTGAGGGACCACATACCTATGCATGTGATCCAGAGCTTCCTCTTTCAGCTCGTGCATCGGAACACCTGCCCACCTCTCCCTAATTTTAGGGCATTGTGCGATTGACCTTGCTATGCCGTCATGTGTTGTCTGTTGTTGGGACAGGGGCACGGCAGGAATTTTCCCCACTTGGCTGATTGGCTGTTGTCATTTGGGCTTCGACTGCTGCATAGCAAATCGTCACAACTTGTAAGGTTGCGGATAGGTTCATGTGATAGTGATGGGAGAACAGTCTCGCCATCTGTATGTGAAGGGTATTCCATTAAAGGAATCTAGGGACTCAACTTGGTTTAGTCAACCCCCGAGAGGGGGTTGTGCCCATGCATGAGTCCAGGGGAGCATCTGGGGAGTGAACAGAGTCTGTTCCTGGGCTTTTTACCTACCTCAGGTGTTCACCCTTGGCTGACCTATGCTGGAGCCCTGGGTCAGCACTACCTGCAAGGGTGCAGGGAGCTAGTCGAACCAGAGCCTATGCAACCACTCACTTTTCTGTAATCAATAAAGTTGTGGCCTAAATTCTGCCAAAAACCAAAACTAAAATTTGAGTCAAATGTGTGTTTATTCAGGGGGGAGGTCTCTGGGTCTGAACATGCAAATAAAAATGCCAGAAATTAAAACATCTTCATCTAGTAATGAAAGGCAGTTAAATCAAGCAAGTGCCCTAAATGTGGTGCGATCAAATAGGTGCTTTCTCTGGTAATTACCTACCTAATCTTTGTCAACCATAACCTGGAAAAGGGCCTCAGACAACGGCTGCAATAAAGGTTGGAAGTGCAACAGCAGGGATCATTCAGTTTGAAATTTAAGGGCTAATTCTCTTTTCAGCATTAGTCAACAGCCCAAAAGAGTTGTGGGATGTTGTTTAGCAACCATTCAAAATGGCAAGTTTGCTGAGGTTGCACATGCTCTGATTGGCTGTATAGTTCTGAGGGCGTTTTCCTCAGTATGTTTGGTTGAATGTCACCTTGCTATTACAAGGCCTGAAGTAAGAAAGGCAAAACCTCTCTGTTTCTTTTTCCTCAAATTCTATAACGTTTTGTTCAGTTTCCTCAGTGAAACACTATCAGGATTTTTCTCTCTGGATTCCATTCCATTAATTTAGTGACAATCAGAAGTAAGCACACACACACGCACGCGCGTGCGCGCGCACACACACACACACACATACACACTTGACATGCTGATACACAAAGGCAAGAAATAAGAATTGCATAAGACCAAAGTGTTCAGTAAAGTTACATATAGGAAAGATTATTATTTTTAAGATCTGGAATTGATAGCATACAAGAAAAGTAGTTGAATAAGTTTTGTACTGCACATAAGAAAAAGTAGGTGCTGAGGTCATAGAAACTAAACTGAGCGGTTCAGGTTTGATAGGGACCCCATTACATGCTTAGATGTTTATGCACCATTTGCAAAGCATCTATCAGCTCACAGCTGAGCAGAGGCATGGGGCTCAGTACCATTCTTTATTGTATGTAGTCTTTTGCAGCTTGTACTCTGTTCCTGCGTATACCATTATTTTCTTCTACCAGTGTCTCATATTACCTTGTATGAAACTGTCACTGTGGCGTAGGGTGGAAGCATTTCAGACTTTGTACACTTGTCATTTTTCAGTGTCTCACATTTACAGATCAATCTGTGCTTCAAAAGCACCCGGCAACTTTTTGCTTATGGTTTCTGAAAGCTCAGTGCTCAATAACCCTCAACATTTTCTATTTCTTCCTTGTGCTACATTAGGAGATACATGATGGCCAGCTGAACAAAGCCTACTGGAAGGAAAGCTTGTGAAGGGCCACTTAATGCACATGCTTAAGGCTGAGAGAAAATGCTCCTGAGTTGTGGGGTTTTTCTTTCAGCCGTGCAGTTTTTTGTTGTTTAAAAGTGGACAGGATGAACCTTGATAATGGCATTGGAATACTGATGGAGAATGTGAGGATGGTGAAATTATGAAGTATTTCACAGTATTTGTGGTATGGACAGACAAATCCTACTACATTCTCCTCCATATGTGTTCATGCATTCATTGGTTCCCATTCCATCACTGATTACCTTTGTTCCACAGTACTATTGATACTGAAACAGTATCTTTAGGGGCAGTTCAGATGTAAATATCAGTAGGAAAACAGCATGGATGGAAGAGTTAAACCTCTACTGCCTGTACTGTGGTCCCAGTGCAGAGTGGAAGCCCACTCCCTTCCTTGTGCCTTCTTTTTCTAAACAAATATATCTGGCTAGTTCTAAGTAGGTTACATTAAAGTGTCTTTAGCATAACATTTAGCTTTTAGACTGGTTCGTTTGATCAAGAGCTTCGACTGAATCACGAGCTAATTTTGACAACCTGAAATCAGGAGCTGGGAACGGGGAGCATATGCATGCACAATTTTTGGGAGTGGTGGTGGTGTATGTGTAAAAACATGAGGAACTGGTGTTATGGGTGGGAGCACAAAATGGCTGCCATGAGCAGAAAATAAGAGGTGGCACTACTCCATACTGAATAGCACCATCACACACAAGAACACAGCAACAACCATCTGTGTATGTATATCTTACATGTAGATCCTTGCAGGATGTTGGGGGAGGACAGCCAGGTACACTTGCCCCAGGCCTTGGAGGGCTACGCCAGCTGGTGGGGAGGTGCTAGAGGCCTGTCGGACATGCCAGGAATGCCCTATGCCTCCCAGCTGATAAGGGACTTAATGGGCGAAAGGCCATGGGCGAAATGCCCATGTCTGTCTGTATGCACCTCAAGGCTTTGATAGTAAAATCTGGACCTGCATTACTGCATACCAGCATGTAGCATAAGATCTGATTAGGTGGTGGCACCTTGGTGGCATGTCTCATGGACTGGGAGTCTGGCAGTGTGGCATGTTTGGTTCTGGTGTTATTTTGCATCAGCAGGGCTTGGGTCAGAATTAGGCATGTAGAATTAGTTTTGCAAGTATAGTTGAGACTTCTATTTCGGGCCTCAGATAAGTTCTGCATGGGCCTGCTTACATGTAGTAAATCACCACACTCAGACATAACCCACTAATAGTTCAAGAATGGTTCTCCATATTTGGATTTGATATGTTTGTATTTCTCTTTTTTCTTAAGAATGATTAACCAATCATTTTTATCCAGTAGTGTATGGAGTCAGCTCCTTTCCTCAAATTATCATTTCTGTGCAAACTTATTTGTGATGTTTTAGGAATACCCTAAGTATGCTAGGTCTTTCACCATAGCAATGCAATCCTGGGCAAATGTAGTGATAAGTTGGTTCCATTGACCTGCCTTTTCCAACTGAGCTGTTTAAG